CAGTTGAGTGATACTTGAACTATCCAAACCCAACCCACCACCACTGAGCACCCGATTTCAATAATCTTCCATTTTTGGCCAACTTTGGTTCTCTACCCACTTTCTCTTCCACCCATATTACTTTGAAGGAGACCCTATACACTTCATTTCATCTGTAGCTCTCAGGGCCCACAGAATGACAACTAAACTCTATTCTGAAAATAAGAGCTACCTGAGTCCTGCTGAAGAGTGTTTGGGAGATACCAGCAGGTGGTCTGTTTGAAAAGAACTCCTGAGAATGACTTCTGCCTTTGTTAGGACCCACACAGTTAGTGCAAACACAGAGTCTTGGTACCACTGAGCACAGCTTACTTAGATGTGTGCTGGTTCAAGAAGTGAATGTGGGTACCTGCACATGTTCCACCCAGACATTACTTTGCAGCTGAAGTAACAGACCAGGGTAGGGATGAGTCATGCTGTTCTTTTGTGGCTACTGCTGAAGCACCCTCAGGTAGGGCAGGGCCAGGAAAAGCCCTTATATCTCAGTGGATGCATGTGGCTGGGGTACCTTCAGCCAGGGAGCTGAGTAGAGGAGTCCATCAGCAGTACCATGGATATCAAGACTTCTCCCCTGGGAATTTTCAGAGCTGGAAGATTTTGAGATGAGCTGGAGCAATGTCAAAAGAAAAACCCTTCCCATTTCTACTAAGCTTACAGCAACTGTTCTGACAATACTCTTAGCTTTTTGAACACTTTCAAGAATTGCATGATTCACTCATACATTCTCGTGAGAATTCGGTTCATATGTAACACAGGCTAAAACCAATGACAGTGTGTCTGTCACCCTCTGGCTCTTTGGCACTTCTTCTATTTACATGTTTACTGAAGTAACAAATGCAAGGGAATAGAAATGTGGCAAGTGTGTAATGAATAAATAAATATAACAAGCATATTTCAGTCTAAATTTTTTATACTTATGGAAGGAATCAGCATTACTATAGGTGCTTAGAATATAATCTTGCCACAGGAGAGCATTAAAAAGAGTACGGAATGTAAATTTGTGATTTCTTCATTTGGCAGTTACCCAGCCACCCACCTTAGACAGAACTCTTATTACAAGTGACTTTTTAACAACCGGTTCCCCGAACACAACAAAAAATAGATTTTAGATCTGCTGAACCAGTGCAAACTGGCTGAATCTCCCCACTGAGCCTATCCTACATCAGGCCGTAAGAGAAGACCTAGGAAAACATGAATGCTTGTGTGGTAATTTCTTTCATAATAATTAATATAAGACTAGTTCCAAGAAGTTGAATATGTCCCAAATGTCCAACTCTTCCAAAATGCTACTCTGCTCCATTTCCCCCTACTCCTTCCTTGAGTATATTTCCTCATGTTCCTGGGACTGTGAGCTCAAGGAAACTCATGAAACCAAGGAAATGTTGCACCTAGTGGTGGGTGTCGTTCAGTCCAAAACCTGAGGATCCAGCAGAGGCAAGCCAGAAGCAAAACATGTCCAAAAGGCACAGCAGGTCTTGCTTCTACCCAACTCAGGACAGGATAGGTCTGGCCTTCCAGGTGAGGCAACCGAGTAGAACTGGATGGTGGCACTGCTGTATAGCCGAGGAAAACAAAGGGTATATCCTGGTTACCACCCAGTACTAAAGCATGGTCTTAAAGATGCCCTTAAGAAAACAAAGGACTTGGCTCAGTCCACACCCTCCTCCAGGCATCTCTTGGTCCCATCTCACTCCTCTCCATCAGTAGAGAGAATGCCCTCTAAAATGGGACCATAGCCACAGGCATACAAAGCCCAGAACCATACTATATAAGGAACTTTTGCCAGAAGGGCCACATCAGTTGGCCATAACTCAGCTTTCCATCACACGTATACAGAAGTGGGCTCCAAAGGTTTGTAATATCTTCACACTCAATTGATATGAGTTCACAGATAAGAGAGAGGGCTGTTTCCTGACCAAGATCATGAGCCACATGGATTTTCTTCCTAGCATTAATGAACCATCTTGGTCTGTGCATTCACATTGTGGGAAGGACTTTATTGCACAAATGGGCACGGCCTACCTGTATGAGTAGTATAATTAGTACACCACTCCAAAATTAGCTGGATTGATTGATTTTCCAATTCTTTTAAACAAAACACTGCCCAGTCCTGCTCCATCCTCAAAATGCATGCCTTCTGTCTGAGCTCATCTTTGCAGCTACGGTGTCAGTCATCTCATTGAGTATTCATGTGGGACTG